TTATCACCAAAGCCCCATATACTACCCACCATTGTGACCTGTACGCTCTCGTTGGCTGACCCTCACTACATATTCGTCGTCAAACCCACTGGCTCCAGGTCGTCTATAAGTCTCTTCTAGGCAAATCCCTGTCTTATCTTAGCTCATTGGTCACCATAGCAACACCCACCCGTAGTATGCGCTCCAGCAGGTATATCTCACTGGTCATCCTCAAAGCCAACACCACCTTTGGCCGCCATTCCTTCCAGTTCTCTGCTGCTAATGACTGGAACGAACTGCAAAAATCTCTGAAGCTGGAGAATCTTTTCTCCCTCACTAATTTTAAGCATCAGTTGTCAGAGCAGCTTACCGATCACTGCACCTGTACACAGCCCATCTGTAATTGGCCCACCCAACTACCTCATCCCCATGTTATTTATTTTGCTCATTTGCACCCCAGTATCTCTATTTGCACATCATCTTCTGCACATCTATCAATCCAGTGTTAATACTAAATTGTAATTATTTTGCACTATGGCCTATTTATTGCCTTACCTCAATAACTTACTACATTTGCACACACTGTATATAGATTTTCTATTGTATTATTGACTGTATGTTTTGTTTATCCCATATGTAACTCTGTGTTGTTTTTATCGCTTTGCTTTATCTTGGCCAGGTCGCAGTTGTAAATGAGAACCTTTTCTCAACTGGCCTACCTGGTTAAATAAAAGTGAAATAAGATACATTTAAAAAAAAGCAATAATGCCGGAGGGGGTTTGGTATATGGCCAATATACCACGGCTAAGGACTTTTCATAGCCGTGGTATGTTGGCAATATACCACAAACCCCCGAGGTGCCTTATTGCTATTATAAACTGGTTACCAACGTAATTAGAGCAGTAAAAATAAATGTTTTGTCATACCCATGGTAAACCACGGCTGTCAGCCAATCAGCATTCAGGGCTCGAAACACCCAGTTAATAATAAAAGTTAGCGCGCAGAAAAGCGTAGTACATAAGGGAAGTACCATAACACCTTGATATAGGGAAGGCGTATACAGTCAGATTAGGAAATTTGGCTAGGATGGAAGAAATTATATAGTAAAACCTGCAAAAGAGTGAATGTAAACCAGAGAAAAACGCACTACCCTCCCCTGTGCCCAATAAAAATAAAAAAAACACACAACCCTCCCAAAGCAAAAAAAGGGACAACCCTGTCCTATTTTGGACCAAATTTTGGGCCCGGTTGCATAAAACATCTTAAGTGTTTCCCTTAAAGGTTTACCTTAAGGAATAATTTTCCCTTACCTAAGGGAATTGTTTAAGGGCGTTGCATAGAGCCCCTCAAATATTTCCTTAGGAAAGGGCATACTTAAGGGGTTTTACAGTAGTTTGAAGGGATGTATGGCAGAGAGTATCTGGTTACCATGGAGACTGCCTAATTCACTGACTAAACGTCTTGTCAGATTTCTTTCATTTTGTGAGATAGCAAAATAGAACTTCTACAGTCACGACAGGATAACCAAATTGCTTCAGAAGATTAATAAATCACTTGTCAAGCTAGTTTACAGAGTACCTATAGCTAACTAGCCAGCTAGCTTTGTAGCGATGGATTGTGCACCTTCCATTGTTTAGCTAAGTACAGTAGCTAGCTGGTTGATGTTTTCCTTTTGTAACCAGAGCAGATGAAAGCAACATTCACCTCCATAAATGCTGTTTACATTGAGATCCATACTGAATTAAGCAGTTAAGGGACCTCATCCTTAACTTTTTCACTTAATTTAAGGGAGAAATTACCCTTTAAAATGTTTTGTGCAAATGACTTAAAGTTAAGGAAACTTTAAGGGAAAAGATAAGGGGGAAATTAACTTGAGATGTTTTATGCAACCGGGCCCTTAAGACACCATGGAGCCGGCACAAGATTTGTCAAAAAATGTACCTCAATAGAGGGATGGGATATGCCACTGTACTCCATTACCCATATCTCGCGCAGGCTCCACGGTGTCTTAACGTACCCATGATTGCGTTCCGACCCCAGTGCAAACAAGCGTAACGGTAGGGTTGGAATCTGGCCAAAAGAGGGGCGGCTCTGACTGCATGTGTGGGTATGGATGTGGGTACGCAGACCCCGGCCCCTCATGCAGTGTTTTCTGTAAGCGCCGGTCACTGGCCAAGTAGCCGGAAAGACTCATTTTCAGCCGGCAACTTTTTCCAAAGTCAAACTGTGTGCCTTCCTAGTGCAGCTTGAGTGCCATAGATAAAAAAAAAAATGGGCACAGCTTCGTCACTGTCATGGTTTCACCATTTACTTTACTGAAAACCGTGTGTCTCTAGCCCAAATGGTTCAAAAGGTATGAATGTGCACACATGGCGGTACGCTCGAATGTTTCAAAATGTAATTTGTGGTAAGACGCCGTTCTAAAATGCACGTGCGATTGGTTTCATGGACAGAGGTGGACATATCTGTTAGAAATTGGCGCAAAAAACTATCATTGCATTTTCTAACCACAACCCGATGTAAGTTAGGGCTGGATACAGTGATTGTTGGAATATAGTAGGCAGCACTTTGAATACATTTGTTGTTTGACATGACTACAAATGAATAAGCCAGGGAGGAATTATTGTGACAGGGTAGGAACGAAAGTGTTGGTCAGTGTTTCCCAGGGGACCCTATACAATGTTACATTACAGGTTTTACATTTTAGTCATTTAGCGGATGCTCTTATCCAGAGCAACTAACAGGTGCAATTAGGGTTAAAGGAACACTTTGGGATTTTGGCAATGAGGCCCTTTATCTACTTGCCCAGAGTCAGATGTGGATACCATATTTGTCTCTGCATTCAGTTTGAACGAAGTTGCTAACTAGCGTTAGCGCAATGACTGGGAGTCTATGGGTATTTACTAGTAGATAGCATGCTGGTAGATAGCACAATGACTGGAAGTCTATGGATAATGCTAGTTAGCATTGGCTCACGAAACTACCTCTAACGTCCTTCATACTGGAGACAGAGACATAAAAAAGCAGCCAACAAGTGCTCAGCATATGTGGGAACTCCTTCAAGACTGTTGGAAAAGCATTCCAGGTGAAGCTGGTTGAGAGAATGCTTAGTGTGCAAACCTGTCATTAAGGCAAAGGGTGGCTATTTGAAGAATCTCCAAATATAAAATGTATTTTGATTTGGTTAACACTTTTTTGGTTACTACATGATTCCATATGTGTTATTTCATAGTTTTGATGTCTTCACTATTATTCTACAATGTAAAAAAAAAAAAAGTACAAATAAAGAAAAACCCTTGAATGAGTTGGTGTGTCCAAACTTTTGACTGGTTGTATGTATGTATGTATGTATGTATGTATGTATTTTGCCCATTCCTCCTGACAGAGCTGGTGTAACTGAGTCAGGTTTGTAGGCCTCCTTGCTCGCCCACGCTTTTTCAGTTCTGCCCACACATTTTCTATAGGATGTCTGTAATGTGTGTGTATGTTTGTTTGTTTGATTTCTCCAAAAAGTACGATCTTTGTCCCCATGTGCAGTTGCAAACAGTAGTCTGGATTTTTTATGGCGGTTTTGAAGCAGTGGCTTCTTCCTTGCTGAGTGGCCTTTCAGGTTGTCGATATAGGACTCGTTTTACTGTGGATATAGATATTTTTGTACCTGTTTCCTCCAGCATCTTCACAAGGTCCTTTGCTGTTGTTCTGGGATTGATTTGCACTTTTCGCACCAACGTATGTTCATCTCTAGGAGACAGAACGCATCTCCTTCCTGAGCGGTATGATGGCTGCGTGGTCCCATGGTGTTTATACTTGCTATTGTTTGTACAGATGAACGTGGTACCTTCAGGCGTTTGGAAATTGCTCCCAAGGATGAACCAGACTTGCGGAGGTCTACAATTATTTGCTGAGGTCTTGGCTGATTTCTTTTGATTTTCCCATGATGTCAAGCAAAGAGGCACTGAGTTTGAAGGTAGGCCTTGAAATATATCCACAGGTACACCTCCAATAAACTCAAATGATGTCAATTAGCCTATCAGAAGCTTCTAAAGCCATGACATCGTTTTCTGGAATTTTCCAAGCTGTTTAAAGGCACAGTCAACTTAGTGTATTTAAACTTCTGACCCACTGGAATTGTGATACAGTGAATTATAAGTGAAATAATCTGTCTGTAAACAATTGTTGGAAAAATTACTTGTGTCATGCACAAAGTAGATGTCCTAACTTACTTGACAAAACTATAGTTTGTTAACAAGACATTTGTGGAGTGGTTGAAAAACGAGTTTTAATGACTCCAACCTAAGTGTATGTAAACTTCCGACTTCAACTATATATATATATATATATATATATATATATATATATATATATATGATCCTATACAAGCCCCGATCTGATGTCATGAAAACATACATGTACTGATGTGTGTACATATCAGTTTAGGCCTACACGTGGGACATATTTTTAGCATTTTCTCCTGAGCAGTTTTCTCAAATATATATTTTTTCTACAGGTACCAGATTTTTTATTTTATCTGTCCATTCTACAATTTAATCTAATATTAAGCAATAAAAAAAAAGGTTATCAAGTTGTAATGATGGGCATGCAACAGACTATAACACTCTTGAGAATTGTTATGCATTACCACTGGAGAGCAATATCACCTTTGTTAGAAAAGCCTATGTCATCGACCTAGATCTGTTGTTTACAAAATTATTGAAGGTGATGTGCTCAGTTCATTAAAAAAAGCATGAGTGCTGTTAATGTCTAGTATTAACGTGAAAATAGTTTAGACAGTGGTCTAGAGTTCTGATGCGTCTTTCTTTTGCAAGAACTGAAGCACACTTGAACAGGAAGCCCATACCATTTTAGTATGTGGTTAGCCAAGCGTCGCAGTTTGCAAATCATCGCAAACAGGAAGTGTATATCACTCTGTATGGCCCCCAGTTGAAAAACAGCTTTGGTTACCTTTTAGCTGTAAGATTGGTCTAGCCGTGGGGAAGGGAAAAACGCCATTTAAATTCTAAATGGCCCAGGGAAAGGATCATTCCTTCCTAAAGCTGGACGACCTTGCCAGCCGATTCTTCAACCGGTATCGCAAAGTCAACCAAGAGCAAAAAGCCCAGGAGAGCGAGGGGCCTCATGTCTCAGAGTTCACCATCATTTGGGATAAATTGAGTAAGTTACTGTGTGCTCTTCATGCTGTAGCTATCGAATTAGGCAGGTGTAACCAAGTGGGTCTAATTATTAGACGAGCTCAAACTCGCAACTTGTGTAACTGCTTTTATTTGAAAATCATTGATGTCAACGTTGGCAAAACCCTAATCAGTAGGAATTAAAACTTTGGTGTGTTTTAAGATTAATCTATTGGTTATTCAGACCCTGTGTCCCTTTTATTTTAGCCTAAACCACCAGTCTGGTCTCTCTGGTTTAATTATCAGCCCTGACAAGTTTGAAGGAAACGCAAGGCTCAGTTAAAGGGTTGAGACACTCATTTAGAAAAAGCACCAAGAAGTCAAGTATTTCTGTGTCCATGTAGCCATAGAGATACCAGGGGTGTATTCACTAGAAACTTAACAGAAGCAAATGGAATGAAACCAGGAGGGACCTACCTGAAACGTGTTTTCGTTGCTACGGTGTGCACTAATGAATACACCCCTAGGAGAACATTTAGACCTAGGTACTGTTTCTTTTTTTTTCTTGTCATACGACAACCATGGAACTTTCTTGATTTCTTGAAATGTTACTAACTATAGAAGTGTTCGCTTGAGCTTCACCTTGGATCTAAAATGGTATGGAGAGTTAGGCTAGGTCTTACACGGAGTCAGTCCCATATAACTCTACCTAATGCTACTTGCCCTGGAATCCAGTGCCCAAAGTCAGCAGGTTATTATATAATGTATTAAATTCACCAGGAAGAAACCTTCTTAAAACCTTCTTTGTAACTTCGAAGATGTATAGTATACAAACTGCACTGTCAACAACATTGTGGCATTCGGTCTCTGTCGCCTCGTCTGAATGAGATCTCTCTGTCCTGTCATTTTCTTTGTGCCACTTCTTGGCGGGGGAGGGTGGATGGTCTTGTGTTCTATTCTGAAATGTATTTTTTTTATAACTTGTTTTCTCCTCTTTTGTCTCTGTTCTAGCCATAACAGTCCTGTGTCACGTTCAATGTCAGTGAGCTTTCGAACAGCTAGTGAGAGACGTAGTCTCCTTTACCAGTTAAGCCTACTAGCATGTCAGACATGAGGCCCATGGAAAACGCCCCTCTTATCGTGTAGTTAGAGCAGAGAGCTACAACTCCTGCTACAGACAGACAGGAAGTTCTCCAACGACATGGCTTAGGCTACATGCAGAAACCCTGTCAGCTCAACAGCTAGCTCAGTCTTAACATATAGAAATGTGTAGCCTTACAGAGCCATAATCGAGATTAGAAAAATCTAATAGGTAGACATATGGGCCAGGAGTTGGGCTCAAATCCAGTCAAATTAGGGTATGAACTGAAGTTTCATTCATGAATTTAAAGTTGTCTTTGTTTGCAATGTGAGATTGTGGACTTTGAAATCATATGAATTAAATCCAAGTTTATTTATTGAACTGAACTGAGATTCCCCCCAACTCCAATGGTTTCAGGCTAGGCCATTTGAGTTAGGCTATTTGAAATTGCAGTCTTATGTGTGTCTTATGTTGTCTTCTCCAATGTCATTTTGTTGTTACATCTAATCCACTTGACTATCTAGCTAATGTTCTTGTTTTTACATAAACCTTTCTTCCCTCTCTTTCTCCTCTTCATCATTTCCATCCATGTGGGTGAATGTTCCTGAAAAACCCTTGGTGAACTATAGAGACTTTTGGTATGCACATTCTCTTCCATAAGCTGTCCTAAGTCACAGAGAAAGCAGACAGCCTATAGCCTAGATATCGCCTAACAAATAGGCTAGGACCACAACCTGGCTGCTACTAAAACAGTAGAAAATGTTGCAAATGGTTAGCATTTGTGGCTATTCTTCAATAGTATCATCATGACTAACTCATGGATTTGGCCAATTACTTTGTCATTCCTCTGTGACTATGGACCGCTCATGTCTGCTGTGGTTTCCACAAAGCACTTTCTATGCCTACACTCTAGTTAGTTTGCTGTGGCTTTTAAAACATTTGCTGATTTCCCCCTTGAATAGTGTTAACCCTCTGAAAGGGATGCACTATCGTTGCTCTTTGAATTAGCTATCTATAAAGCCTGTGAGAGCTCTTTGCATCTCTTCATTGTAAATTGCTAGCTAATAAAGATGTTTTAAGTACAGTATCTCTGCCTGGTACTTGACTTTGGCCTGACCTTACTATCGGTTTATTTAGTTATTGTGATCCCCTGAACTTGTTGACTGTTAGATACACAGCAACTCTGATCTAAGTAGAAAGATAGTAGGTCTATAGACCTGTCTAACCTGTGTTTTATTTGTGCTAATTGTCTTCTTTCTTCACCTTTTAGTGAAAGAGTTCTTAGCCAAAGCCAAAGAAGATTTTTTACGAAAATGGGAGTGCCCACCACAGGTAAGAGACTAATAACAAAATACTTATTTCCCACAGGTAACGAAACACTACACTGAACAAAAATATAAAATGCAACTATTTAAACGATTTTACTGAGTTACAGTTCATATAAGGAAATCTGTCAATTTAAATGAATTCATTAGGTCCTAATCTATGGATTTTTATATGACTGGGAATACAGATATGCATCTGTTGTTCACAGATACCTTAACAAAAAAAGGTAGTGGTGTGGATCAGAAAACCAGTCAGTATCAGGTATGACCACCATTTGCCTCATGCAGCGCAACACTTCTCCTTCGCATAGAGTTGATCAGGCTGTTGATTGTTGTCCCACTCCTCTTCAATGGCTGTGTGAAGTTGCTGGATATTGGCGGGAACTGGAACACGCTGTTGTACACGTCGATCCAGAACATCCCAAATATTCTCAATGGATGACATGTCTGGTGAGTATGCAGGACATGGAAGAACTGGGACACAGGTTAGACATGTATACAGATCCTTGCGACATGGGGCTGTGCATTATCGTGCTGAAACATGAGGTGATGGCGCTGGATGAATGGCATGACAATTGGCCTCAGGATCTCGACACGGTATCTCTGTGTATTCAAATTGCAATTGATCAAATGCAATTGTGTTTGTTGTCCGTAGGTTATGCCTGCCCATACCATAACTCCACCGCCACCATGGGTCACTCTGTTCACATCTTTGACATCAGCAAACTGCTCTACCTCATGACGCCATACACGCGGTCTGCCATCTGCCCTGTAGAGTTGAAACTGGGATTTAGCCGTGAAGAGCACACTTTTCCAGCGTGCCAGTGGCCATCTAAGGTGAGCGTTTGCCCACTGAAGTCGGTTACGACGCCAAACTGCAGTCAGGTCAAGACCCTGGTGAGGACGCAGATTAGCTTTCCTGAGACTGTTTCTAACAGTTTGTGCAGAAATTCTTCGTTTGTGCAAACCCACAGTTTCATCAGCGGTCTGGGTGGCTGGTCTTGGACGATCCCTCAGGTGTAAAAGCCGGATGTGGAGGTCCTGTGCTGGCGTGGTTACATGGGGTCTGCGGTTGTGAGGCCGGTTGGACATACTGCCAAATTCTCTAAAACGACGAAGGCGGCTTATGGTAGAGAAATTAACATTCAATTATCTTGAAACAGCTCTGGTGGACGTTCCTGCAGTCAACATGCCAATTGCACACTCCCTCAAAACTTGAGACATCTGTGGCATTGTGGTGTGACAAAACTGCACATTTTAGTGGCCTTTTATTGTCCCCAGCACAAGGTGCACCTGTGTAATGATTATGCTGTTTATTCAGCTTCTTGATATGCCGCACCTGTCAGGTGGATGGATTATCTTGGCAAATGAGAAATGCTCACTAACAGGGATGTAAAGAAATGTTTGCACTATTTGAGAGAAATCAGCTTTGTGTGCGTGTAGATAATTTCTGAGATCTTTTATTTCTGCTCATGAAACATGGGACCAACACTTTACCTGTTGCGTTAATATTTTTGTTCAGTGTAGAATTGTTTTTTCATTTCCTCACCTACCACTATCAGAATAATTGCAGAATGGACAGTAAACCACTTCCTTATGCATCCTCTGATGTTGATCTGATGGGGACCAAGAGGCTAATTCCTCAATCTGGAGTGTAAAGTGTGTACACTGATGTTATCCTTATAAAAAGCCATAGTCCCAAACATCTGTAGTATCGTTGAGGAAGTTTAAGTTACCATGGTCTCAATAGTTTAGAATTAATAGCCAATGTTTTGAAAGAGAAAAGGGAACTGCGCACCCATCCATTCCACATGTAGCGCAACTTCTGGAAATAATACATTTTTGACCAGCCAACTCAAATAAAGTAAGGCCGGGATTCAATACACATTATTGTGCAGTGCGGGTACTGCAGGCAATGTTTTCAGAAAGCAGGATCCCCCATTATAGTCAATGGGAGTATGGCGATCTTTGTGGTCAATATTTGTAGATATACCCACTAATTTTGCCGTTATAATAAGGTTGGTAGCAACATGGGGAAATCATTGTGAAAATCTGTTGCAGCTAAAGTCGACTACAAAATCCACAATGCAATGCTCTCTCTATGGGCTAGCTGGCAAATGTAGCTACACACAATAATACCAAAGACAATATCATGTAACATAGCTAGCTAGCTGTTAAATTGCCTAAACAAACTGCACTATGAATTTAGGAGTCCACAATCTAACCATGTTCAACCTGCAGATCGATGTGCCTCACTGAGTGGAGTCAAACATTCGCAACGGCAGATATACTTTTGAGGAAATGGGAAACGGTGCCCATGCCTGGCAATGGGCCGCGCGGTGCATTCTGGGCGATTCTGGGACAAAGGAGTGAATGGGAGTCTATTGGGCGCAAACTCAAAAAAACAACATTAGCACGAATTTCGTCAACAAGAAGTACAACATTACAAAGCTTTTCCGAAATGTGAGATAATCAACTTGCTGTCTGTTGTATAGTATAGCTTTGAAACCTTTCGAGGAAAATAGGCACGTTTCTCGACATATACACTGACTTTGAGAAATAATTGTGTGACGATTAGCTTAGCAACTACGTGAAGCAGCTTGACAACGTGAACGCGATTGGTTGACAGTTTGCTGGGTGGGGCGTTTAAAGGTTCCTTCATTCATTAGATTCCTATTTATTTTCTATAATATCTCTGGCAACTGCACGATGCAATGCAACCTGGACTAAAGAGGCAGACAAATAGGAAAAATGTGCTAGACCCTCCGTTAAATTACACATTTCTCGAGGTAGGAATATCGCAAAAATATGATCAATGGCTTATTCGAGAGAAGACATCCTCCCGAGTTATGACATCAGCCAGCATTGAAATCTGACATGTATGATAAACGTTTTCGCAATCTAAAAGTTGTATTCCTATTAACTTAGTGTAGTGAGTTTGGGCCCCGTGTAGCTCAGTTGGTAGAGCATGGCGCTTGCAACGCCAGGGTTGTGGGTTCGTTTCCCACGGGGGGCCAGTATGAAAAATTTATGCACTCACTAACTGTAAGTCGCTCTGGAAAAGAGCGTCTGCTAAATGACTAAAATGTAAATGTAAAAAATGTGAGAGCGACTTTCTCGCGGTGCTACGTAATACCGGCCATATTTCTGCCTGCTTGAACACCAATAACTCAGATAAACATGAAATGACCCAGAGAATCGATAGAACATCACTCAGAGATATACAAAAACAATAGAACATTCAAAATGGCCGAACCTTTACTTAAAGGATAATTTAGTGGCTACCGGCAACCTGCAGTACCCCGGTCGGCCTTCAATTTGAGATTCTCAATGAGAGGGGGCAGCACTGCGCTAGCCTGCAACGTCAGTGTTCTCCCCAAATAATGTAAGAGGGGCGCTGCGCCACCTTGTGGACTGCTCAAACTGTGAATGCAATGTTCCAAAACTCTTCCATGATGCAAGATGGCAACACGCTAAAACGACACTTCCTGTTCTTCAAATGCGCCACTGAGACGTCACATAGTAAACAATGGCTCTGTCCATTCTTTCTACAGTCTATGAGCAGGGAACTAGACAGCCTGCAATGTTCCTTTTAATTAAAGGCAAATTACCCAACGTTTGCGGAGATCGCATAGATGGTAAACGCTGCACGTTGGCTCAAGCGTAAATTACCTTAATTAAAGTGTGCTGCCCTGTATTGAATTCCTGCCTTAATGTCGGCTCACTGTTTGCTGGCACATTTTAAGGATGTGCTTTCCTCCTCAGAGCACAACTGGCCTGGATGACTTTGACAGGCTGAAGACTCTAGGCACGGGCTCGTTCGGTAGAGTTATGTTGGTGAAACATAAAGGAACAGAACAGTTCTACGCCATGAAGATCCTGGACAAACAGAAAGTGGGTACCATGCAATAACATGCACTGGGTTGTGTTCATTAGGTTAGGCAATGGAAAAAGAAAATGAGCGTTCCTTATTGGGTAAGTCCAGGTAGGCCCTCCCTGTTTCAGTTCGCTTTCTTCCGTTTAATGCCTAATGAACATGACCCTGGTTTGTTTTGAAGGAGGTTGAACAAAACCTAGGCCGGTTAAATCACCTAGCACAGTAAAGTTGGCTGGCGTCAGAGAAAGGCTGGCTTTATCTAGCTTTTGTGCTCTGTTGCATGGGTTTACACTAATTCAAAAGGAAATGGAAAGTATATGTCTTCTCAGGTACTGTGAGGCTTGGTTAACCACAAAATACATTTTGTATTTTTGAAGTGAAACTTAATGAGACACAGTATGAGACATCCTGTACCTTGTTATTGCACTGGTATATTTGTTTTGTTAACTAGATGATACACTAAGGCTCATGATGGTCAGAACTAAACAGTTTTCACAGTTTCAGCTAAAATGAATATGTTTGTACCTTCAATGTGTTTGTTATGCTCAGTGAGAGCAGGGGAAAAAAGTTGAAATTCTGAATGAAAAATGTAAACCAGCCATTGAGGCAACAATATTTTGTTAGCTACAAAGTAACTGTTTTGCCACTCACTTTTTTTCAGCTGACTGCTTTGTCTGTTAACTTAAAGGTCATGAAATGTCAATCCCACGCAGGTTTCAAAAAGTGACTGACGTGCCTTTTGAACCCATGACCATTGACATTTTGAAAATGACCTCTGACAGTTTTGCTTTATACCTACACTGTGATATTTTTACCACATAATACTGTATTCTAAAACTGTTCAAGATTAGCAATTGGACTGGCCTATTGAATTAATTCCCCTGATCATCGTAAATGGTGCTGCCTTGCGGTGACTAGATCGCATGGCTGCCACCAAATGTAGTAGGGATGTTCCCTTGATATCGTCTCCTACATTATTTTCCTGTGTATCAAATGAAATAAAGTGGAAAGGCAAACTTTATTCTCGCGTGTAGATTTGTAAGAATCAGAAGTTCCCACTACGAGCATCCTGATAACAAATAATATGCTACAGATGTCCAGTTGCACGTTCAATGCATGTTTAAAAAATCGACTAAAGTGCTACAAACGTTGCCTATTGCCCAGGCACTCCTTCCTTGATCTCCCAAGATAGCCACCACCATAAATTCTTCTTTGTGAAACTGTCACATATTCTTCATTAGTGGGATGGTCACATGCAGTAGTTTTATCAGATGACCGGTGACTTTTGTCTTTACTGTTGTGCTCCTCTCCTCATCGTTATGCCTCCTCTCTCATTGCTCTCACAGGTGGTGAAGCTGAAACAGATAGAACACACTCTAAACGAAAAGAAAATACTGCAGGCGGTGTCCTTCCCCTTTCTCGTCAGACTAGAGTATTCCTTCAAGGTATGTCAGCAGCAGTAGGATGTCCAAAAATGTGCACTGTACAATTGGTGAAAAAGATGAGTGTTACCTTGGAAATAGAGCTGGGATGATAAAATGAAAATGGCCTTCCTTGGTACGCCAGTAATTTTCCGTGATTTTGCTACACAATGTTACTGTAGATCAGGGGTGTCAAAGAAAGAAAACCTGCAGATACCCGGCCCTCCGTGGAATGAGTTTGACACGTGTTGTAGATTGTTTTAAAACCATTATTTGGTCAACCGTAATAGCCTATGCATTATGTTGATTCTTTTATTTTTTTTACTTTTTACCCCCATTTTCTCCCCAATTTCGTGATATACAATTGGTAGTTAGTCTTGTCCCATCGCTGCAACTCCAGTACAGACCAAATGTAACTGGGTGTGTTCTAACTTTATTTGAACCATAGGACAACTCCAACCTCTACATGGTGATGGAGTATGTTCCAGGAGGAGAAATGTTCTCGCATCTGAGACGCATCGGGAGGTTCAGGTAAATCAAAAAAGCTTTGACACCATGTTCATAGCCTGGTATGTCTGTATACTTGAGATCCAAAATAATGGGCACGATCTATGTGTTATAAGGTATTGTGTTGTCTTTGGTTTCATTTTTTTTCACCCGTTTGACATTACGTTAACTGAACATTTTCTTCTGTCTTCAGTGAACATCACGCACGATTTTATGCAGCTCAGATAGTACTCACTTTTGAGTACCTCCACTCGCTAGACCTCATCTACAGAGACCTGAAGCCTGAAAACCTTCTCATTGATCACCAAGGGTACATCCAGGTACGGAAGCAGCGATATCCAAACCAAAGCATATCTACATTTGTTGGCTATGAACTCTCATCTAAGACTTCTGTCTTGAGATTGAATAGCAAATAATGAGACGTTAGTCATCACATTACCATTAAATAGTCCATGCAAATTTGCCCTATGCAAATATGTACCAACTGGACTGCTATTATTGCATGGTTCTAATGCCATTGTCGATCCTTTTCAGGTCACAGACTTTGGCTTTGCCAAAAGAGTAAAAGGCAGGACCTGGACATTGTGTGGAACTCCAGAGTACCTGGCTCCAGAGATCATCCTCAGCAAGGTGGGCCCTCCTGTCCAATATAGCGTGTTGGACATAGTGTGTGTGACTGTTTTCAACCTACCTGTAGATTTGAAATAGTTGCCAGTGTTGTTTGCACAGTATGTGCAAAGAAAGTTGCTCAACATTGTTTTCTCCGCTGTACTCTGCTAGGGTTACAACAAAGCTGTGGACTGGTGGGCACTGGGAGTCCTGATCTACGAGATGGCCGCCGGGTACCCTCCGTTCTTCGCTGATCAACCAATCCAGATCTACGAGAAGATCGTGTCCGGCAAGGTAGGCAGGAATTGACATTATGTGCAGTCTGGACTGACATCATGTTACCGGACACCATGCGTTCTTGAACGGATTTGACATGGTATGCAAAACTAATGCATACATATTAGTGTCCTACAAAACTCTTTCTTCACAGGGGTGATTTGCCTATAGATTGAAACGGCCCCTACTGTCAAAAATGACAAAGGAGCTATTAGCTTAAATGGTTTCCCTTGATGTTCTGGTTATTTGCCAACCTTACTGTGCATGTTTCTATCATACCTGTGACTTTTATCCATATTTTAACAATAAGCTCCACAGTTAAAGCCCAACTCCGCTCCTGTGTTCTAGGTACGATTCACCTCCCACTTCAGCTCAGACTTGAAAGACCTGCTGAGGAACCTGCTCCAGGTGGACCTGACGAAGCGCTACGGCAACCTGAAGAACGGGGTGAATGACATCAAGAACCACAAGTGGTTCGCCACAACGGACTGGATCGCCATCTACGAGAGGAAGGTACGTCCCGACCGTTAAAGTTTTAAGTGTGAAATAAACACTGTTGGTTTGGAACAGTAAACAAACTAGGTAACGCATGAATCCCCAGAAAGATTGACATTCCAGGTGTAATTAAATATGAACTTTACCGTCATAAAAATACTGCCAGATATAACACATTTGCACTATAAAGGCTTGTAGACAAGAATGTTGGGAGTTCAGTGCTTTCCCCTCTAACCCCCATCACCAAAATAGATTGATTGCCTTTGCCACATAAACAATGTGTAGCTGTTATGATTGTATTGTGGTCTTTAGAGCCACTCCCACACTTGTCCTGTTGCCTTTCAGGTGGAAGCTCCCTTCATACCAAAGTGCAGAGGACCAGGAGACACAAGCAACTTTGACGACTACGAAGAGGAGGACGTCCGTGTGTCCGACACAGAAAAGTGTGCGAAGGAGTTTTCCGAATTCTAGCGAGGGGCGGCAGGTGTTCCATCAGGGCTCACATACATTGGGATTTTTGCACTCTTTTGAGGGTGAAGGTGGAGCTGAGACATGACGTGTTCAAAACAATTGCCTAGTAACTTCATTCCACAAGGCTGAATGAGGTCCTTCTTGCCATGATCCTCCTCGCGTGCAGTTAGCACTAAACATATATACAGGCACATTATGCAGACACCCTTCGTGCTGCAACACAAAAATACTAGGTAGACCACGTTTTTGTCTTTTTGTTTCCTATTCTGTTTTTAAAACATTTGTTGCTTTAAAGAATCCTCTCCCCCCTCCTTCCCTCCATTTTAAACCAAGTGATTATTTGCAAAGCAAGACAAAAAACAATTAAATGCCCGTTTTACAGTGGCACAAAGAGTGATTGATTATACTAGTGGTATGACAAATGTTTGTGATTTTTAAATTGGAAAAATAAGTTGTTGTTTTTTGCTCCTAGTTCTTGCCAGCGACTCTTGCCAGTTCTTGTGTGTTAGGCCTACATGCTGGAGTGTGTTTTTAGGTTTGATTAAACTTTCTTGGCCCAGTCTATAATCCTAAACATTTTGCTGTCCTTAAGAAGTAGACTGTGTCTTTGTGCATAATATAAATATATATACAGTATCTTTTTACAAAGAAATGGATGTCAGGAAAGGACTCAAAACAATACCACAGTCACACGGGCATTCAGTCCTTGACAAGAGGAGTACAGTAGTAGCAAGGTAAACCTAATTACAAAGCAAAAACATGTCTGTGCTATGTTTAATTTATAATTTGTAGCAACGTTTTACTTGTCAGGTCATGGGGCATTTCTTTATATATTTTTTTACCTCCGAGTAGGTATTGTGTTCAGATGAAGTAAGATTATATATTTTCAGGTACAACAACCCCAAGAGGGGGAGGAAACTTATGGGCTTTAACTACACTGAACAAAAATATAAACGCAACATGCAACAATTTAAGATTTTACTAAGTTACAGTTCAAAAAGGAAATCGGTCAATTGAAATAAATTCATTAGGCTCTAATCTATGGATTGCACATGACTAGGAATACAGATATGCATCTGTTGGTCACAGATACCTTAAAAAAAAAAAGTAGGGATGTGGATCAGAAAACCAGTCAGTATCTGGTGACCACCATTTGCCTCATGCAGCGTGACACATCTCCTTCGCATAGAGTTGATCAGGCTGTTGACTGTGGCCTGTGAAATGTTGTCCCACTCCTCTTCAATGGCTGTGCGAAGTTGCTGGATATTGGCAGGAACTGGAACACACTGTCGTACACATCGACCCAGACCATCCCAAACATGCTCAATGAGTGACATGTCTGAGTATGCAGGCCATGGAAGAACTGGGACATTTTCAGCTTCCAGGAATTGTGTACAAATCCTTGTGACATGGGGCCGTGCATTATCATGCTGAAACATGAGGTGATGGCGGTAAATGAATGGCACAACAATGGGCCTCAGGATCTTGTCATGGTATCTCTGCAATCAAATTGCCATCGATAAAATGCAATTTTGTTCGTTGTCCGTAGCTTATGCCTTCCCATACATAGCCCCACCGCCAGCAAACCGCTCGACCACACGGCCATCTGCCCGGTATAGTTGAAACCGGGATTCAGCTGTGAAGAGCACACTTCTCCAGCGTGCCAGTGGCCATCTAAGGTGAGCATTTGCCCGTTGAAGTCGGTTACGACGCCAAACTGCAGTCAGGTCAAGACCCTGGTGAGGACGACGAGCACGCAGATGAGCTTCTCTAAAATGGTTTCTGACAGTTTTGCAGAAATTCTTTGGTTGCGCAAACCCACAGTTTCATCAGCTGTCCGGGTGGCTGGTCTCAGGCGATCCCGCATGTGAAGAAGCTGGATGTGGAGGTCCTGGGCTGACGTTGTTACACGTGGTCTGCGGATGTGAGGCCGGTTGGATGCATTGCCAAATTCTATAAAACGACATTGGAGGTGGCTTATGGTAGAGAAATGTACATTCAATTCTCTGGCAACAGCTCTGGTGGACATTCCTGCAGTCAACATGCCAATTGCACGCTCCCTCAACTTGAGACATCTGTGGCATTGTGTTGTGTGACAAAACTGCACATTTTAGAGTGGCCTTATATTATCCCCAGCACAAGGTGCACCTGTGTAATAATCATGCTGTTTAATCAGCTTCTTGATATGCGACACCTGTCAGGTGGATGGGCTATCTTGGCAAAGGAGAAATGCTCACTAACAGGGATATAAACAAATTTGTGCACAACATTTGAGAGATATAAGCTTTTCGTGCATATGGAAAACTTCTGGGAACTTTTATTTCAGCTCATGAAACATGGGACCAACACTTTCCATGTTGTGTTTATATTTTTGTTCAGTATAGAATCACTGAAATCCCCTGCTATGCAAAGTGGGGTACTGCAGGGGGTACTGCAGGGGGTCCGTGGCCAGATATTTTATACACACACAGTGCATTTAGAAAGTTTTCAGACCCTTGACCTTTTCCACATTTTGTTACGTTACAGCCTTATTCTAAAATTGAATAAATTATTTTTCCCTCATCAATCTACACACTACAACCCATAATGACAACGCAAAAACATTTTTTTATTTTTTATTTGTGCAAATGTATTAAATATAAAAATATATTTACATAGAGTACCAGTCAAAAGTTTGGACACACCTACTCATTCAAGTTTTTTTTTTTTTTTTTTTTTTTTTTTTTTTTTACAATTTTCTACATTGAAATAACACATATGGAATCATGTAGTAACCAAAAAAGTGTTAAACAAATCAAAATATATTTTATATTTGAGATTCTTCAAATAGTCACCCTTTGCCTTGATGACAACTTTGCACACTCTAGGCATTCTCTCAACCAGCTTCATGAGGTAGTCACCTGGAATGCATTTCAATTAACAGGTGTACCTTCTTAAAAGTTAATTTGTGGAATTTCTTTCCTTACTGCGTTTGAGCCAATCAGTTGTGATGTGACAAGGTAGGGGGGTATACAGAAGATAGCCCTATTTGGTAAAAGACAAAGTCCATATTATGGCAAGAACAGCTCAAATAAGCAAAGAGAAACGACAGTCCATCATTACTTTAAGACATGAAGGTCAGTCAATACGGAACATTTCAAGAACTTTGACAGTTTCTTCAAGTGCAGTCGCAAAAACCATCAAGCGCTATGATGAAGCTGGCTCATGAGGACCACCACAGGAATGGAAGACCCAGAGTTACCTCTGCTGCAAAGAAACCACTACTAAAGGACACCAATAATAAGAAGAGACTTGCTTGGGCCAAGAAACACGAGCAATGGACATTAGACCGGTGGAAATCTGTCCTTTTGTCTGAGGAGTCCAAATTTGAGATTTTTGGTTCCATCCACCATGTCTTTGTGAGATGCAGAGTAGGTGAACAGATTATCTCTGCATGTGTGGTTCCCACATGGAGGAGGAGGTGTGATGTGTGGGGGTGCTTTGCTGGTGACACTGTCAGTGATTTATTTAGAATTCAAGGCACACTTAACCTGCATGGCTACCACAGCATTCTGCAGCGATACGCCAGTCCCACTAAGTGCAAACCAGATGGGATATCATTTGTTTTTCAACAGGACAATGACCCAACACACCTCCAGGCTGTGTCAGGACTATTTGACCAAGGTGAGTGATGGAGTGCTGCATCAGATGACCTAGCCTCCACAATCACCCAACCTCAACCCAATTGAGATGGTTTGGGATGAGTTGGACTGCAGAGTGAAGGAAAAGCAGCCAACAAGTGCTCAGCATATGTGGGAACTCCTTCAAGACTGTTGGAAAAGCATTCCACGTGAAGCTGCTTGAGAGAATGACAAGAGTGTGCAAATCTTGCATGAAGACAAAGAATGGCTACTTTGAATCATCTCAGATATAAAATATGTTCTGATTTGTTTAACACTTTTTTGGTTACTACATGATTCCATATGTGTTATTTCATAGTTTTGATGTCTTCACAATTATTCTACAATGTAGAAAATAGTACAAATAATGAAAAACCCTGGGATGAGTAGATGTGTCCAAACTTTTGACTGGTATCGTAATTATTCATATCCTTTACTCAGTACTTTATTGAAGCACCTTCGGCAGCGATTACAGCCTCGAGTCCTCTTGGGTATGACGCTACAAACTTGGCACACCTGCATTTGAGGATGGGGAGCGTCGCTGCTTTCAGGTCTTTCCAGAGATGTTTGATCGGGTTTAAGTCCAGGCTCTGGCTGGGCCACTCAAGGACATTCAGAGACTTGTCCCGAAGCCACTCCTGTGTTGTCTCTTCTGTGTGCTTAGGGTCGTAGTCCTGTTGGAAGGTGTACCTTCGCCCCAGTGAGGTCCTGAGCGCTCTGGAGCAGGTTTTCATCAAGGATCTCTCTGTTCTTTGCTCCGTTCATCTTTACCTCGATCCTGACTAGTCTCCCAGTCCCTGCCGCTGAAAAACATCCCCACAGCATGATGCTGCCAGGATGGTGACAGGTTTCCTCCAGAAACTCGCTTGGCATTCAGGCCAAAGAGTTACATTTTGGTTTCATCAGACCAGAGAATCTTGTTTCTCATGGTCTGAGAGTCCTTTAGGTGCCTTTTGGCGAACTCCAAGTGGGCTGTCATGTGCATTTTACTGAGGAGTGGCTTCCGTCTGGCCTCTACCATAAAGGCCTGATTGGTGGAGTGCTGCAGAGATGGTTGCCCTTCTGGAAGGTTCTCTCATCTCCACAGAGGAACTCTGGAGCTCTGTCAGAGTGACCATCGGGTTCTTGGTCACCTCCCGGACCAAGGCCCTTCTCCCCCGATTGCTCAGTTTGGCTGGGCGGCCAGCTCTAGGAAGAGTCTTGGTGGTTCCAAACTTCTTCCATTTAAGAATGATGGAGGCCACTGTTCTTGGGGACCTTCAATTTTTTGCTACCCTTCCCCAGATCTGTGCCTCAACACAATCCTGTCTCGGAGCTCTACGTACAATTCCTTCGACCTCATGGCTTGGTTTTTGCTCTGACATGCACTGTCAACTGTGGAACCTTATATAGACAGGTGTGTGCCTTTTCCAAATCATGTCCAATCAATTGAATTTACCACAGGTGTACTACAATCAAGTTGTAGAAACATCTCA